GGAATTACCTCATGATCAATTAGAGGGATCTTAAAATATTTGTAACTCCCAAATAATTATTAGGGAGTTACATAAAGGTCAAATTACAAAATGACCCTTGTATTCAATTTATAAGTTACATTTGAACATAAAGTAAAGAAAGAATGTGATTGATTGATGTTGGTTAGTAGAGTTAACACAAAAAAATGGGTTGGTATTTGAACCACCCTATATATATATATATATATATATATATATATATATATATATATATATATAGGGTCAAGTTCAAATGTTAACCAAAGTTTTTGTGTTAACTTTGTTAACCGATCTTGGCCATTCAATCTTTCAATAAACGGTTGTGATTAATCATGATAAAAACTTATTTTTTTAATTTTAAAATTTCATAAAGATAAGTAAACAAAGTTGAAAAGGGTATTTAGGTAATTTTTTTATGTAACTCCCATATCATTAATTGGGAGTTACAAAATCAAAAAATTATATGATTTTTGTTAATGTAAAACCAGATGAACACAACAATATACATATGAACCATTGTGTTAAATACGAACAAAAAATCGACATATATATGAACTTTGGTTGCATATCATTTATGAACACAATATGAACATAATAAGAATAACTGCTATACGAAAGGAAATAAATAAAAAACATGTATCAACATGATATGAACAGCTTGTGAACAATAGTTCCTTCATTATAAACATATTCAGGAGCGATCATTTGTCAATTGGAGTTTTATACATGCATTGCATCCATGCCGTTTAAGGTTCACCCCTTGTTTATATATGTTTCTGGTCTTATGTGGTTGTTCACCCTTTGTTCATCTCGTGTTCACCCTTGTTCATATCGTGTTCACCTTTGTTCATATCGTATAAAATATATGAACACAAAACCCCGACGCTATGAACATCGGATGCAAACACTTACACAAATATAAAGATTTGGTATCAAGCTTAAAGAATAACACTTGTGTTCATATGATAGAAGTAACATAAAAACGATGGTTTATGATTCATACAAGTTGGTAATATGACAATTTGAAAATGAGTCGTGCATGTATTTCCATTTGAACATGTGAATTAGACACGTATTAATAATTAAAGAAAAAACAATATGAACTACAAGAAACACAACACATCATAATAAACATAATTTCGATTAAAACGAGTTTAATAAAATATTAATCAATTACCAAGACATTCGCTTTGGTTAATTTCTTCACTTCCCGAACTCTAACTCCGATTGTCACCATAAACCATTTTAATCTTCTCAATGTTGTCGATTTTTTTTTTCAATGTGTTTATCCATAATAGTTTGAACGATACCGAAGATTTTACTACCGTCTTTCCTCCACAAATCAAAAACTCATAAAACAATAAAAATGGAAGATCAAGAATAAAAAAATAAATAAAAATATCAATATTATAAATGTATATTTTTAGGAATTTTATGATTTTGTAACTCCCTTTAATGGTATGAGAGTTACATAGCAAATGAAATGACTCAATTACCCTTGGCATTAAATTGTGAACATGATAGATACCTAATAGAATAATGGATTGTGATATTGTGATTGGTTGACATGGTTTGCAAAGTTAACACAAAAACTTTGGTTAACATTTGATCTTGTCCCAATATATATATATATAGGGTTGGGTTCACGTGAGACCAAAGGTTTTTCGTGAGACCCGTAAGACCAATTTATGTTCATTGATCAAATTTATGAATTAATGATCTAATGGTTGCAAAGTTGCAAGGTGGCAATTTCGTAATTAGTGAGAAGTCTCGTGGCGTTTATAAATGTTCAGATCTGACGATTGTAAATCTAATCCAAGGGTTGAGAATTGGTCTTACAGGTCATACGAAAAACCATTGGTCTCACATGATCCCAAGTCTATATATATATATATATATATATATATATATATTTGAGCGGGAAAAAAAGAGAATAATTACTAAAAATATATTATGATCATCTATATATATATATAGAGAGAGAGAGAGAGAGGAATGTTATTCTACACCCTTTGTCATTCCTACACCCTATACAACCCTCATCTCAACCATTCAATTTTTAATCAATTAATTGTTTTCTAATATAAAGTATTAATCATAATTAATAAACTCTATTCATATTCCATAAATATCCAAATCATAATAAATGAACTTCAATCATTTCTATAAATATCTCAATTAATTGGGTTGCAAAAGTTGTACAAATGCACAAGGTTGTAAAAGAAATATACCCTATATATATATATATATATATATATATATATATTTGAGCGGGAAAAAAGAGAATAATTACTAAAAATATATTATGATCATCTACATATATATTAATATTACGGTAACTACAAACACATCTAATCTTTGTGAGAAAGATTGATCCCAAACATTAGATGCTCCACCTTTTATTTTCTTTGTTTTGTTTAGTTCATCATTGTTTTCATATTTACGTAACTCAGAGTATTTTTCATCTTTCGTTTCACTCCTATACAAGTAAAAAAACATTTAACAATAAACGTATTAAAAAACCTTAAATTTCAATATGTTCTTGAAAACCTTAATTGACAAACCATTTTTCATTGTTTATAGCAAGCAATAATTATGTTTACGAACACTTGATTATTAGAATTAATTGCACAAGCAATAATTTTCAATAGGTTTTTAGGAACACCTCATTATCAATGAGGGTTGGTTTGTATGTAATTATATAATTTATCTACCTTTGGAATTTTACAAGTTAGTAACGGATTAGTGATTTCAACCCTATTAATTGGTCAGTTGGCGATTTGACGAGTTAGGTTAATGGCAAGTTGGATTGGGCGGTTTGGCGATTTGGTTGGGTATTTTAACAACCCTACTCCTTCGATTAACACATACATGATCAATTTTGCTTAAAGAGAGAGAACTACAAAACTATCATTATTTCTCTTCAACCCCAACCCTTCGACTGTATTTTTGAGAAAGGTGACAAAATTCATCTACATCACCAAGCTTAAAACCAAACCAATCGAAACTAGTCATTTACTAAACACTTATTAGCTCTTATCGGGTAAGAGACATTTACCCAATCAGATATGATAGTCTTTACCAACTGTCATTTTGTTGACCGAGAATCTTACCCAATGAGGGTGGTGGGTGACTCTTTTGATTGATACTTACTATAGCCCAAAAGATAGATCAAGTGCAACTGTTCAAGGCATAATTGCTCCTTGGACCTAAGGAACAACAACCACACCAAAACCCGGATATAAAAATAGGTGTCAAGAAAGCGACAATCCCTAGGAGACCCGACCCATAACTGGTTCCTAAAGGAATATCGGGACTAGAAGAGAAACAACCAGAAAGAAAACAACTCACATTCTAGTTTTAAGTTTTAACATGCTACAAACCAACCTAGTATAATATTGCATTTATCATTCAATTCTGCAACTCGACCCCCATAAGTCAGCATACTCAATGTAAAAGGTAACCCTATACATATATAGATATAGATATTATTCGTCCTAAGAACACACAACAGAACACACATATTATGTACTTAGAATAGACATAACTATTGATGGTTCCATCTTTCAGTTGGACCAAACATGAACCAAACCGTTACTGTTACCTGTATAGATTTCATTGCGCTCTTCATCATAGTAGAGGGATGTTATGTCTTCTAGTGCCTCTTCAACCATGTTCACTTCAACCTGCCTTTGATTCGGTGACCTTCCATCTTCATCATCATCATCATCCTGCTTGGAGGAAACCGCATTGCTTGCATTTATTTTTGCTATGCATTTCCCAGTCCATATGTTACTGATATTAATAGAACCAGCTGCATTAAAACATACATGTTAAGACTTAACAATATACAAGTATATCTGCAGTTTTAACTTTTAAGAATGGATCGTGTGAGAAGGAGTCAAGGTGAGAAGCGTAAGAAGGGATCTAGACCCTTGATCACCTTTAATCTCAAACTCACCCATGAATCGTGTTTGACACGAGGATTAGTCCAGTGCATCTCATCCTAATGTGCATCCAAGGATGGAGATCTCTTCTTACGTTTCTCACCTTAACTTTCCTCACTGGAACCCAACCCTATACAAGTATATCTGCAGTTTTAACTTTTTAAAACATACAGGATAAAGGTACTAGGGCCTGGTTCAAATATTTTGAAAACCAAGGAAATAATTTTTTAATGAATATTCATTATTGAATATACTCATTGACAGAATACATATACAAGTAAATATGAATATATAGCATATATATACTCATTTATGAATATTCATATTTTGATGAAATTTATATGGTGCATATTTATCAATGAATATTCACTACAAAATATTAAAATTAGCTCCCTAGTTCTCAAATTACTGCGGTTCTCACATGAACCCTCCCGTAAGGTACTAAAAATTGTATACATGATGTAACAAACTAATCTACTTGCTTGTTACACTTGAAATTTTGTGCAGTATTTAACAGGAGAGAGCATCAGAATATAAGTGAACCTAAGACCATGATGATGGCCTAGCGGTATTAGTTAAGGACTTCTCTTTTGTCTGTAAGGCTCACAAAACATAATTCATGCATCTTACTAATTGAATATAGAGATGTAGATACCATCATAGCTTGGTTTCCAGAACGAGAAATATTGGGTATCTATTTGTTCACATTTTCATCTCTTCATTAAAAGCTTTTTGACTTTATGCATAAAGAACGTGTTTCAGTTGTTTAAATTTACGACATCTTAACCATTATGTTAAGAAAACAGAGAGACACGTCCACATACTACATTACGTGCATGGCAGTACAGTAGCATGGACTACACAGCTTGTACATACTTGCATAGCAAAAACTGGCCCTTTATGTTCCGATTTCTAACTGCTGGTTCATATGTTGAGTTAAGTTGGTCATTCAATTGTATCTATTCTGCACCCAGAAATAGTCTCCCTCAGGTTTATAGTTGTATTTGATGGCAAAGCTACCAGAGCCCAGGAAAGACTAGAGTTATCCTTCCCTTGTTATTTGTGACGATCTCTCTCTGGAAAAAGAAACCATGCCTTTTCTAAACCCAATTTGATGCATAAAGTATCATGGAAGTTCCACGTATTGCCATCAAAAAGGCAGAATAACTTTCCATTAATGTATATGTAGCAGACATTTAGCATTATTGCCCCTAAAGAAGCACGTTTAGTTTAAACTTGTGATTAAAAACTTCGTAGATGCACCAGATTTATAATAAAAGATTATAGTTATATGAGCTACAAGTGATCACCATCGACCATAAAGAGGGTTTGTGTTGTTGCAATGTACGTAAAAAAGGGCATAAAAACGTACCTCCTCTTCTATCAGTCAACGGTCCGTTATCTGCCTTGCAGAAGGAAACTATGAGGTCTTGATCGCTAGTTATATAGATGTTGTTAGTGTTGCAGTCTGGATGCGATAGTACATGGTCCTCAAATGACGTAACAAGTTCCCCCCGGAAGTTCCAAACAGAGACGGTTTGATTTCTAAATGTTAGAAATAGCTGATTCTCATACAGAAATATAAATGCTGATGGAGTCATAAACTCGGTGCTAGCAACTTCTTTCACCTCAGCATTGCGGACCTACAAGAAAAGATATGTAATTAAGGTGGACATGCACAAGGCTCCAAACAAGATGCAAAGTGGTAAAGAACTTGAGTTCGAACTTACATCAAGAATCTGGAGATTCTCATTGTCTTGCTTAACAAGAAGCTTTTCATTGAATTGTTCAATAAAATCCACCTTCTTATTGCGATGCAGTAAGTGATTGAAATCTTTTAGAACCGTGCCATCTTCTATAGATAGTATCTTCAGAGGAACATGGCTCTGACCCCTACTGAAAATCAGTAACATGATACCAGGGCTGTTCCAAGTACATAAGATCATTATAAAACAAATCAAAGGAAAAGAGCATCAGCAGATAACATTGGAAAAGGAAGGGAGCATAAATAATAAAAAAAATAAAAACCTTAACTAGAAAAAAGTTCAAGTCATGAAGTCCACTAATAAATGCCCTACTTCCCTTAATAAAACATTCACCTTATGTGTTGAATTTCTATCTATTTGTTGTTATGTATGGATTTTTGGAAAAACAAACCAATTGCTTTTAGTTATTTATTAATAAGTATTTTTATTAAATATTTCTATGGTTTTCTTCAGAAACTTACAGCAGAATGTATAGAAGATCATTAAGGGAGGGAGGGCGTGAAAGAAATTACCTGATCTTGATTTCTTCGACCTGTTGGTCAGCTATTGAGTATAACAATGTATAGTTCTTCAGGTCGAAGACCTTGTATATGCTGAAATGAAGAGATTAAGGATCAGAAGCAGTAACATCATGTATGTCTTTAACGAACATCAAGTATCAAGTATTATTTGAAAGACAACGAAACATACCTATCCTGTGCAGAGAAGGTAAGCACCTTTTCGTTGACATCATCGAACTCCACAAAGCCTGGCCATTTCAAAGACTCGGTCTCAAAAAGCGGAAAGCCTTCGTCAGGTTTGCCTCTCTGTATGTATCTACCATTAAAAAGGAATTGGATGTCAATGAACAAGTTGATGTTCTTCGTCCAAGTATATGACAAGTACAGAAAAGGGAAGCATATAAAAGAAATGAGTAGATGGACCCACTCTATTCTTATTGATCGGCATTTCAATGAACTGAAGTTATCCGAAGCATATACAGACACTGTAATCAATGACTCATTATTTTTATTATAAAACAAGCTCCTGATGACTTCATCTGGATATATATTCAAGAAACATATCCTCTTGTTTGTATCTGCATTTAGAGTGCCAATCAAGAAAAAAACTTTAAGTTAGTCCCGCCATACAAATAATTTTTTATGTAAAACAATAAATTGTTCATGATAAAACATCAGCGCCATCACCTCTACTAAAAGCTGCACAAACACCAGAACTTGCAAGAGCAAAGACAATATCATGTACCACCACTATTTCAATGACTTTAGCTCTTTTCATCAACAATGGTAATACTAATGAACATTGTCCCACAGGATCATGGATATCGTATCTCTCCTGATACAATTAAGAAAAATAAATTAGAAGATACAAACAATGTAATGATTATTAGCTATCAATATCATAATGAGTCAACCTCAGAAAAAGGGGGAAAAAGTAACATTAGTCATCTAAATGATGCCCATGTCAACAAATAAGAAAATTTGTGCATAGGAACAAAGGAACATATAACTAATGTTCAAGATCAGCCTTCAACTAGCTATTCTCTACCTAATCAGTCCTATGACCACAAGCCATGATGTAGTTCAATCTTTACTTGGTGATGTTTGACAAAACATGCACATCTACAGATTTTGTTGCAAGAGTAACACTAGGTTGCCTGTTACTGACACAAAAGTTCTTTTTGGAGGCTTAGGAGGCACATAAGATACAGGATGCATCAAGAAGAATAATTTGACCAAAAAAGGATAATAGAATGAATATTCACATGGAAAAGGAAATAAATGGATATTTGAAGATGTATTCCAACTGGTCCACTTCGTGCAGGAATATGCGCACAGCTAGTTTTATTGGGAAATGCCATATTGTTCAAAGGGAACATAGTTCAAAGTACAATAAAATTTATAGACTAGCCATATTAAGATATTAGATATGAATATGGTTTAATATACCTAATATAGGTATTTGCATAAAAACAATATATATATATGCGTTACCATAAACATATAAGTGTATTTCAAAACTTTTAGCTTTTTCAATGTAGTTGTGAAAGTCTCTCTCTCTCTCTCTCTCTCTCTCTCTCTCTATCTCTTACTTACACACACACACACATGCATGCATACATGTGTTGTATATCCTGAATTGTTAACATGGTAATAACGTGTGGGCATAGTCAAGGCTTAATCTCAATAATTTGTGAGAAGATGTTTTTGGAAACAAAAATAATAATGACAAAATTTGAGACAAGGCAGAGTTGTGTTCAGTTGAAATGCAAAAAAAGCTTTAGATACCATGCTATTTACAAACTTACCCAGTAATAATTAGAAATCAAGGCTTTATGTCATCTCCATATCACAGTCTAAATTTATTGAAGGTAAAAAGTTACTTGATTTTGAGTATTGGAATCTGAGTTCTACTACTTCATTTTTATGATCATCACCTTGGTAAGCTATTACCTCACCAACTAGCTAATCAGACTCTCGATTGATTCAAACACTGTACCTATGGGAAAGAGGAAGAGGAAAAAACCGAATATTTCATCTGAAAGCAATTTAACTTTATAATGGGGAACCAAATTTCTTAATACCTTCTTATATAACAGACTAACATAAAACACGAAGGGGAAGTGAAAAGAACCAAGAACATATCAATCTTAAACCAACAGAAAATATTTGTCAACATATTAACTTGGGAGAAGAATCAGCCTTGTCTACAAAGAGAAAAACCTCAGCTAATTCTCTGAAAAATTAGGTTTCAAGAATGGAAGTGGATATTTCACAGACCTATACAGGCATACCTCCTTTCACAGGCCTCTCTAGAACATTTATCTTGATCACAAGAAATGATGGTTCCATCATTCCATGTAAATATTCGAGTTCACAAGCATGTATATTAACAAAAGAAATCCATCAATATAATGTATATTAAATGGATCAGCAGGTATGCAAAAAGAGACGTATGACAGCCAAACTAAACCCTAACTGTAACTCTTATCTTCTGATGCTGCCCTAATTGGAGAATAAACATAAAGATTCCCAATTTGGCAACCAAAACAAAATAGAAGCATCATAAATAGAAAATGTTCATATATCATGCTTAAGTTCTAACACTTTCATTAAATTACATGTTTGGTTCCCAATCCCCTATACAAACAAATATTGTTAGACCGGACAAGAAACAACCAATAAGCGTATCTTACAAAACAATAAGCATGCACATATTTGTTGCACGGCATTTAATAGCTAAGAACACAAGTCTATCTTGTTTGAAATAGAGATTAGAGCATTACCACAAAACCAAAAATTTATTATGTCTATATCTTAATCATAGTTATTCAAGATTGGAAGTATAATCAAATTACTTGACATAGCAAATGATCATAATACATCACAGAAAATACTGAAAATTTTGCTGTTCTTGATTAAGCTTAACTAAAACTCGGTCCAGCCGATCATGGCCATTAGGGATTCCAGTATCCAACTTGAAAGAAGAAAAAGGATGACTAGTTGTAAGTTCTCTTTGATTAAACGCATAAGAAGCGAACCCTAAAATATGTAACTGTGCTGTATCCGAAATTATGTAGCTACCTGTCACTTAATTTCAAAGAGTTCAGTTTCATATTAGTGGACTAGCTGAACAGGAGAATATTCAAGAACAAAATAGGTGCAGTGGGAGGGGAACTACCGTCAACCGAAAGTTGCAAAATCGATGAAGAGATTTCGTGATGGACGAGGAACGGTGGGGTTTAGAACAAATCTCACGTCTTTGAAGCTTCTTGACGCTGTTGTTGACCGCCAGTGGGTTGGTCCAGCCACGCTTTTTTGTTGCAATTACTCTCCTCCGACCACCGCACAGCGGTGGCCGCCTATTCCCGCCACTACCCGTGCTGCTAGCCATCGTTATTCTCCTATTCCTGCTACCGCCGAACCCTTCCATATCCCTTCATCCAATTTTGCTAAATCCGCAATTCAAATTCTCAATGGAAGTTCCAGTAGCAGTAGTTAGAAGCAGCTGCTGCTGATTACGGCCTACTCTGACGATGATAATGACAACGACGAGGTGTTCTTCTCCTCTTGAAAACAACTCGACTGAAGTAGAGTTCAATTGGGTTTTCCTTCTCTATTTAGGGGCATGGCTGCAATCAATTCAGTTTTACATGAATGGTCCCTAGACTATTCAAACACTTCCGATTTTGGTCCTTTGACTATTTTTTAGCTAAAAAAAGCCCTTAAAATTTAATTTTCTATTAACGTTAGGATCCTAAACAATATAGGGTTGTTAGGATATGTTTGATATACAAAATACAAATATCAGAAGAAGATACACTATATATGCGAATCACTAATTTTTTTTATTTAAAAGTACATGTGTGAATTGACAATTTTTTTACATGAGTGAAGCTTTAAATTAAGTTTTCAATTATTCGCATATAAACGTTTTATTAATGTTTTATTAATATTTTATTAAACTTTTTTTTATATTTTATTATAGTATTTAGATAAAAAAAAATTGGTTAAAAAATAAAATCTAATATATTGTTATAGAAAATCTTACTTCTCACTCGTCTTTCTCTTCCCTCTTTTCTCTCGTAATATACACACACAATTGAATGTATCCATTCAAGCTGAACACATTGTGAACAATTTCTTAGAAATACTATTATACCTTGTGAATCATTGTAAATAAATTTTAAATCTACGAGATCTGGGATAGCTTGTGAACACCAACAAAACTAAACCTAAACTTAAACCTACCACTTATGAATATCATTTGGAATTTTTGAACACCCAATAAGTAATTTCTTAAGTTTGATTACATTATGTTCACAATGTTTTCCCATTCAATTAGGGAGTGTGTGTGTGAGTGTGTGTGTCTGTTACGGACAAAGGAAAGAGAAGAGGGAGAGATATTTTTGGAATTTGACTTTTTTAAAAGATGGTTTAATGTTTAGTTAATAAATAAAATTAATTATCTTAAAATTAATGGTTTAGGAATGATCTTATGGATGTCATGAATTCTAGAGTTCTCAAATGATAAAACACACACACATATATATATATATATATATATATATATATGTGTGTGTGTGTGTGTGTAAGAATTTATTATATATTATATTATAAATGCATATAGAATTTATGTAATACATTAGTATATTTATAATATAGAGTTAAATGCATAAAATATCAACTTACTTTCAAATTCTATTTATTATAGTATTGTAATTTTGTTTTTACTTGTTACAACAATATAGTTTTAAATTATGTTTATTAAGACATTGTATTTTAAAAAAATTATCCATTATAACAATAAAAAATCTTTTTATTTGAATTAAGATGATATGACACAGATAACCAGGTTTTCATACCATGTAATTGTGCACGTATAACATTCTGTTAATGTAACTTTCTTATTACAACATTGTCTTTTAAAATAAATTGACTTTACATATTATTTAATAAATATCATTAACTAATTAAAAAATATAAATTATTCATAAATATAACAATATTAAGAAAATTTGTTCTATCACAATTTATATAGCAACGTTTAAAAAATATATTAAAAATTGTATTTTTTTTTAACTAGGAAAAACAATGGTATGGAGATTTGTAAAAACACATTTTTATTCACTAACATTTTTGAAAATGTTAAAAAAAAATAAGTGTTACATTGTCTTACAAATAAAATATTTATTTTGAAAACTATATGTCATTTTTGTTTAAACACTTTCGAATATTTAATTCGCATACAATTTAATAAGAATAAAAGAATTTTAAAATAGTTTCTGAAAGAGATGGTTGAAAATATAATGTAGGTGATATAAGAATAATCACGAGGGAAAGTGGGAAACTATTAAAAAAGGAGTTTTTTTATTTATATCACGTAATCAGAATAATGATTCATCCACATCACCTCATTCAAGTCGTTTAAGCAAAAAAAAATGGGAGTTAACCGTTTTAAAAAGTAACAAGTTACCAATTGTTACAATCAGTTCATCTTTCTAAACACAATGCCTTAATAAAAAAATAATTTGAAAGTATATTTCTATAGTAAGAAAAATATGTACAATTATATAATAAAAAATCTATAAAAATACATTATTATTTCATACATTTAACCCGATAATATAATATATCATTATAATATCTATATCTATATACATTATAGATATAATAATAATATAATAATAATAATTATAATACAACATTCTAGGTCTTCTACATCCTATATGCGCAACACTAGGATGCCTATATCTTCTCTTGATGAGGAAGAACAAAAATCTTCTTTGGAAGACCCTGTTAGTGAATTAAGAGTTCACAAAAATGGCATTGTAGATAATGATGTCCAGCAAGCTAGAAAGATTGACACGATGTCAGACCTCAGTTTTTGATTTAATGATTAATACAACTATAAGAAGTTGGTTTATTGATGATGAAAAAATAGATTTTACCAAAGGATCTCTTGCCAGACAGATCATTTGTAAAGATTTTGAAACAAATCCAAATTGAAAACCTTTTTTTAAAATGGTATTTTCAAACTTTTACTGATCCTGAAATCAAAGATTTTGCTGATGAATTTTATAAATTTTGTACACAAGAAAATGAATTATTTTCCTACATTCCTTGGTTTATAAATACCCATATAAAAAATTATATTGGTGTTATTGAAAAAAATTATCAACTTCTTTCAGGAGAAAATCAAATTTCTGTTTTTCCTCCACAATCGGCTTTCAAAATGAAAAAGAATGGTACTATAATAAAATTTTCAGCCTTTTCTAAACTCATTAAAGAAAATGTTTTGGGAATAACTATGACCCATATTAATGAGTTACTTGAAAAACAAAATTATACAAATCTTTCTCTTTCAATAATAGGAGAACAAATTATTTCTCTTCAAGAAAGTATAGAAAAAATTTCTTCTAAACTTTTTATGGAAGACAAAAATAAAGTTAAAGATATTATTTTAACTTCTTCCTCTATCCAACCCCTTCCTGAAATAAAAGATTTTAAAATAAAAAATAAATTTGATGATTTCATTGAACAGCTTGAAAATAAGTTGAAAGACTTACATATATCTAGACCCTCTGTTTCTATCCTTGATAAGGATACTGAAGATTCTGATAACAATCAGAATAAAGACCAGATCCATAAAATGCAATGGGCTAATAAGCCTAATTTGAATAAATATTATTACGATCGTCCTACTCCCATGGATGTTCTTCATGAAGAACGAGAGTACATTATTAACAATAGCTATAATGGTAAGTGTATCTATGAATGGAGCCTTGACGGTTTCACAGATGAGCATATTTATAATATGGCTCATCGCATGCTTATGTATAGTACTGTTTGTAAAAATACAGGCAATACTGATAAAAATATTGCGAAAATGATTATTGCCGGTTTTACTGGCCAGCTTAAAGGCTGGTGGGATAATTATATTCCACAAAACCAGAAAGAGCAAATTTATAATTCTGTCAAAACTGAAGGAGGAGAAGAAGAGACAAATGTCGTCTATCCTCTCATTCTTACTATCATTGAGCGTTTCACTGGCAGATTTTCTGATGATAGTGAAAATTAAAACCTGTTTAAATGGTTGTAACCAGCTTGACAATATAGAATAGTCTCATTAAGATCTAGGGTTAAGAGTAAAAAGAGGTTTAAAATATATGCAGTAACAAATACATATAACCTCTGTTCCCACAACATAATTATAACCATGGGTCTTAACATTCAATGTTAAAGAATCAAGAATATTGATATCAGATAAAGATAAACATAAATTAGGATATACATCAAAGTAGACTGGCCCATGAGCCAGGCTTGATTGGATCATTCCAATTAAGGATTGTTGCCAATTTAGATTTCTTCCATCTCTAAGAGCAGCAAGAAAACTTTCTGGTAATCCTTCTAGAGTTAAAGGTCTAAAAGCAATTTGCACTAGACCAATATGTAAGAACTTATGAGTTTTTAAATAAGGAAAAAGGTCTTGCTTATTAAGAAGACGAATCATCATCTCATCTTTATAATATAATATAATATAATATAATATAATATAATATAGAGAGAGTAAGTTACATATTTGGTCCATGTGGTTTGTTAAAATTTATGGGTATTGTTTGTGTTGTTCGTTTATTATATTTACGATTCTTGTGGTCTGTAAATCCTTACGGATTTAGTCCTTATTATTAACACCGTTAGAAAGCCCGTTAACTCAACAACATTTTGATCTTTTCACGCATCTTTCATTTTTTATTAAAAATTTAATAAAATAGTATATATATATATATATATATATAGAGAGAGAGAGAGAGAGAGAGAGAGAGAAAGTGTGTGTTTCAAATACAAACAATGCAATTTTACAAACCAATCACTTGTGATATTATCCGAATAATGATAGTTCATTTATTATAATCTAGATATTTATGGAAGAGACTTAAAGTTCATTAATTATTATCAACACTTTATATTAGGAAAAGTTGAGATATTTTATGAAACAACATATACATTATATTAAATGGACGGTTGAGATTTGTTTATATGATTTGTAACAATGTGTTGGTTTGTATAATAAACATCCTATATATAGGAGGTCATTTAAGGGAGAACTCAGTGTTTTATGAGATCTGTGAGATTCATTCTCAAACACAAATCAATTTTTAAATTAAAAAATTAATAATTTTGGTTATTTTAACTTGAAAGATTTAAATAATGACATGTTAAGTATTTTAGAAATCTTAATGTCCACTATGATATCCATTGTATACACATTGTGATATCCTAAGATACACAAGATGATACATTGTAAATAAAGAAAACACAGAATGTGATACAAAGGAAACAATGAAAATACACTTTGTGGTACTTGCATCAAAGATTCAGAGATATCACAGTGTGAATAGTTATGAATTTCCTATTTATGTGAGTTATGAGTTTACTTTTTATGGAGAGAATAAATTAATTAAACACATTTGTGAGTTGTCTTTTTTATTACTAAATTACCCTTTCCTATTTACGCAATAAATGACATAATCATCTTAAGTAAATGACTCATATTGGATCGCATAGTTATCACAAATTATTGAGTTCTCA